CGCCATTGCACTCCAGCCTGGGCAACAAGAATGAAACTCCATCTTAAAGAAAAAAAAAATACTAGTTTCAATGATAAACTAGTAAGAGAGTAGGTCAGCTGATCTCTTCACTCTGTCATGCTAGAAGTTCATATCCCTGTTTGTTTGTTTTTTTAATCCTCCCTTACCCCTGCATGTTAAACCTAAGCTTTTTTGGATCTACTTTTCCTGATCAAGGCTTGAGTCTAATATCTTTACTTTCCTTAGTAGGTTAATTTTGTTTTCGTTTTTTCGACTGGACAGCTCTTTTTCTGCAAAATGTTGTAGTTGAAGTGAAGGGGAGAAGTTTTCTCTATAGCTAACTAGGACTTGCTCATATTTCAGAAAATCCCTTTAAGATTACTGCTGCAATGATAATTAACTAGACATGGTCTGTCTTCTATTGCTCTTTGAAAGGCCTGCCTAGATAATACTTTAAATTTCTGCAGATAATGGCTTACCTTACTAAACTGTACTGTGAAATTTCAGGTCAAGCTGGGGAAAAGCGAACTGCTTTGTGTAGGAATGTTTTTAGTGTCTCTTTTGGTAGTGGAGGAGGTGCATAGAAATTGCATTCTGTGGAGAGAGTACTTAAAAATAATTAACTTTGGCTGGGCGCGGTGGCTCACGCCTGTAATCCCAGCACTTTGGGAGGCCGAGGCGGGCGGATCATGAGGTCAGGAGATCGAGACCAACCTGGCTAACACGGTGAAACCCCGTCTCTACTAAAAATAAAAAAAAAATAGCCGGGCATGGTGGCGGGTGCCTGTAGTCCCAGCTACTTGGGAGGCTGAGGCAGGAGAAGGGCAGTAAGCCAAGATCACACCACTGCACTCCAGCCTGGGTGACAGAGCGAGACTCCATGTCAAAAAAAAAAAATAAATGAATAAAAAAAATTAAAAATAGTAATAATAATAAGTAACTTAAAGCTTGAGAGTTAAAACTTGTTTTTTTTAAAATGTGAAAGCTCATACTTTTATTAGTCATCAGAAAGATGCAAACTTATATCACAAGGTGGTACCAGAATGGTTAAATTGAAAAAAAGACAGTAAATACCAATGTAAGTGGAGCATTTAGAACTCACATACACTGTTGGGGAAATGTAAACTTGTACAATCACTCTCGAAACCTGTTATTAAATAACAATTAAATTAAAACTTAACAATTAAAATTTGTGAAATAAGCAAGTTTATAAGTTACTATTATATCATCCATGGTTATAATGTAGATCTGAAAAACTGTATGTATTATAATTAATTCCTTTATTTCTTAGGTCATTATCTAGCAGTGTACGCACATACATACGCATACTTCTCCATCTTCTTCCTTTTGAACAGAAATAGGAGCATACTATATACATAGTATAGAATCTTGGTTTCCCTCCCCACTCTTCTTTATTTACTTATGAGATAATGTCTCATTCTGTCTCACAGGCTGGAGTACAGTGGCATACTCATGGCTCACTGCAGCCTTGATTTCCCAGGCTCAAGTGATCCTCCTGCGTCAGCCTCCCAAGTTGCTGGAACCACAGACATGAGCCACCAAGTCCTGCCACTTTTTATTTGTTTATATTCAGAGGCTTTAATTTTTAGACCAATTTTAGGTTCCAGAAGAATTGAACAGGAAGTGTAGTTTCCTTATGTCCCCTGCACCCTACTCTACACATTTCTCTATTACTAACATCTTGTATTAGTGTGGTACATTTGTTACAATTATGTATCAATATTGATACATTATTAACTAAATTCCATAGAGTTTACTCTGTATTGTATTTCCTGGGTTTTGATAAATGTATAATGTCATGTACCCATCATTATAGTATCATACAGAATAATTGTATGGTCCTAAAAATCTTCTGTGCTTCATTTTTATTCTTCCCTCCTTCTCCCAAAACTCCTGGCAGCCATTGATCTTTTTACTGTTACTGTACTTTAGGCTTTTCTAGAATATCATATAGTTGGAATCACATAGTATGTAGCTTTTTCAGACTGGCTTCTTTGACCTAGCAATATATATTTAAGGTTCCTCCTTTTTTTTTTTGGTGTCTTGACAGCTCACTTCTCTTTTATTGCTAAATAATATTCCATAGGCCAGGCGTGGTGGCTCATGCTTGTAATCCCAGCACTTTGGGAGGCCAGGGCAGGCAGATCACAAAGTCAGGAGATCGAGACCATCCTGGCTAACATGGTGAAACCCTGTCTCTACTAAAAAATACAAAAAAATTAGCCGGGCATGGTGCAGGCGCCTGTAGTCCCAGCTACTCGGGAGGCTGAGGCAGGAGAATGGCATGAACCCGGGAGGCGGAGCTTGCAGTGAGCCGAGATCGCGGCACTGCCCTCCAGCCTGGGTGACAGAGTGAGACTCCGTCTCTAAAATAATAATAATAATAATAATATTCCATTATATGTATGTACCACAGTTTGTTTATCCACTCACCTATTGAAGGACATCTTTATTGCTTCCATGTGTTGGCAATTGTGAAGCAAGCTGTTATAAGCATTCATGTCCAGGTTTTTGTGTGGAGAGAAGTGTTCTACTCATTTGGGTAAATCCCAAGGAAAGCAATTGCTGGGTCATATGGTAAGACTATGTTTAGCTTTGTAAGAAGCTGTCAAATTGTCCTCCAAAGTGACTGTATAATTTTGTGTTTCAACCAGCAGTGAATGAGAGGACCTGTTGTTTGCCATCCTCACCTGCATTTGATGTTGTCAGTATTTTGGATTTTAGGCGTTCGTGTGTAGTGGTATGTCATTATTGTTTTAATTTGCAATTATCTGATGACATATGATATTGGGCATCTGTTAATATGCCTCTTTGCCATCTGTGTATCTTCTTTGGTGAATTGTGTATTTGTTTATTTTGCCCATTTTTTAATTGGGTTATTTTCTTATTGTTGAATTTTAAGAGTTTTATGTATTTTGGATACAAGTTCATTATTATTTTGCAAATATTTTCTCCCAGTTTGTGGCTTGCTTTTCATTTGCTTAACGGTATTTCTCATGGAGCAGAAATTTTTAGTTTTAACGAAGTTCTACCTATCAATTTTTTCTTTTGTGAATTATACTTTTGGTGGTGTATCTAAAAACTCATTACCTAAGGCCATGTAGATTTTTTCCTATGTGATCGTCTAGAGGTTTTACAGTTTTGCATTTTATATTTAGGTCTATCATCCATCTTGAGGTAATTTTTGTGAAAGGGGTATGATCTGTGTCTAGATTTAGTTTTTTGTATGTTCCAGCACTATTTGTTGAAAAGACTATTTTTTAAAAAAATTTAATTGCCTCTGTTCCCTTGTCAAAAATCGGTTGATCATATTTGTGCAAGTCTATTTCTAGGTTCTTTATTCTGTTCCCTTGATCTATTTATCTATTCTTTCAACAATACCATACTATCTTGCTTATTGTTTAAAACATCTTGAAGTCAAGTAGTTTTGATCTTTATTCTTTTTCAAATTGTGTTGGCTATTCTGGGTCTATTGCCTCTTTATATAAACTTTCCAATCAATTGTCAATATCTACAAAACTATTTCCTAGGATTTTTTTAAATTCACAGATTAAATTGTATGTATATATTGTGTACAGCATGGTGCTTTGAGGTATAAATACGTTGTAAAATGACTAAATTTGGCTAATTTACATATGTGTGTTACCTCACATAATTATCAATTTTTAATTTACTGGAATTTTGATAGGGATTGTATTGACTCATTACATAAAGCTTGGAAGAACTGACATCTTGACAATATTGAGTCTTCCTATCAATGAACATGGAGTATCTCTCCATTTATTTAGATCTTTGATTTCTTTTATGAATTTGCTTTTTTCATTTGACAATTTATCTTGGACATCATTCCATTTCAGCACATATAGATAGATCTACCTCATCAATTTCTTTTTTTTTTTTTTTTGAGACAGAGTTTTGCTTTTGTTGTCCAGGCTAGAGTGCAATGGCGCAATCTCGGCTCACCACAACCTCCACCTCCCAGGTTCAAGTGATTTTCCTGCCTCAGCCTCCCGAGTAGCTGGTATTACAGGCATGTGCCACCACGCCTGGCTAATTTTGTATTTTTAGTAGAGACGGGGTTTCTCCATGTTGGTCAGGCTTGTCTCGAACTCCTGACCTTGTGATCTGCCTGCCTCGGCCTCCCAAAGTGCTGGGATTACAGGTGTGAGCCACCGTGCCTGGCCAGACCTCATCATTTTTAACAGATGAATAATATTTTATTGTGGGTTGGTACAAAAATTTTCTTAGCCATTCCCTTATAGGTGGATGTTTAGGTTGTTTGCAATCTTTTTCTTCCACGAACAGTGCCGCAGTGAAATTCTCATGTAATTTATATTTGTGCACACATGTGAGTATATCTTAGGATAAATTCCTAGGAATAAAATTGTACAATCAAAAGCATATACAATTTCAATTTTGGTGGCTTTTGCCAATTTTTCCTCCAAAGAAGTCATATAAGTTTACACTCCCAGAACAGTACTTGGGACTATTTCTTTCTGATAACCTCACCAATATAGCAGTTACCAATTCTTATAAAGTTGGTATATGATCTACAATAAAAACTTACAAATGGGCCGGGAACGGTGGCTCATGCCTGTAATCCCAGCACTTTGGGAGGCTGAGGCGGGTGGATCACGAGGTCAGGAGTTCAAGACCAGCCTGGCCAACATGGTGAAACCCCGTGTCTACTAAAAATACAAAAATTAGCCGGGCATGGTGGCATGTGCCTGTAGTCCTAGCTACTCAGGAGGTTGAGGCAGGAGAATTGCTTGAACCTGGGAGGCAGAGTTTGCAGTGAGCTGAGATTACGGCGCTGCACTCCAGCCTGGGTGACAGAGCAAGACTGTCTCGAAAAAAAACAAAACAAAACTTACAAATGATACCACTTGTTTCTTTAGCCTTCTTTAAACATATTTTTAAGAATATATTTATATATTTCTACATGAAAAAGTGATTTGTCTTTCCCTGATCTGTTTCAGACCTGTGGATATCTGGGCTTTGGGCTGTATGATCATTGAGATGGCCACTGGAAATCCCTATCTTCCTAGTAGCTCTGATTTGGATTTACTCCATAAAATTGTTTTGAAAGTGGGTAGGTATTACTGAAATAGCATGAGTTACATGTCTAAAATAAATATTGCCAGATCAATTCTGCTTGATTTTCAAATTTAGCTATTCTGTGTAAGAACAGGGAAGCATATTGTTTTGATAGATGACAGCAGATGGGTTCCTTGGGCTGATAAAGAAGGCAGAAAATTCTCTGTTTTTGCAAATAATATTTTCTTTGCTAGGATATAAATAGCTAAGCCATGTGTTGATTGTTGATGCTAAGAAGAATAGTACAATAGGAATGTACTTTAATTTGTCTAAAAGTTGTTTTTAAATTAGGCTTTTTCAAATATTTGTACCTCTATATAAGGACTTCAAATAGTAGAGTTGAGTCAGATGCTTTTTTAAAGGACTGGGAAATAGAAAATTAATTATTTACTCAGAAACCACCCTTCTTTTTAAAGAAAACAGTAATAGACAGCCAGATAGCTAAATAACTTATTCAAGAACATATTTGATGAAGGCTGGGCATGGTGGCTCATGCCTGTAATCCCAGCACTTTGGGACGGCCAAGGCAGGCAGAGCACCTGAGATCAGGAGTTGGAGACCAACCTGACCAACATAGTGAAACCGCATCTCTACTAAAAATACAAAAAAAAAAAAAAAAAAATTAGCCAGGTGTGGTGGCAAGCGCCTGTAATCCCAGTTACTCAGGAGGTTGAGGTATGAGAATCGCTTGAACCCAGGAGGCAGAGGTTGCAGTGAGCTGAGATCACGCCACTGCACTCCAGCCTAGGCAACAGAATGATACTTTGTCTCAGGAAAAAAAAAAAAAAAAAAAAAGAATATATTTGATGAGAGTTTATTTGATGATCTGCTTTGGCCACCAAAACATTATGATGGTTAGCCTTGAATGTGCTATTTCAAGATTTGTGGGTTTTTTTAATTTTAAATTTTAATTTTTTTGAGACAAGGTCTCACTTTGTCACCTGGGCTGGAGTGCAGTGGTGCAAGCATGGCTCACTGTAGCCTCGACTTCCTGGGCTCAGGTGATTCTCCCACCTCAGCCTCCCGAGTAGCTGGGGCTACAGGCATGTGCCATCATGCCCGGCTAATTTTTGCATTTTTAGTGCAGCCAGGGTTTTGCCATGTTGCCCGCCTCCCAAAGTGCTGGGATTACAGGCGTGAGCCACCGTGCCTGGCTAAGATTTATTTTTTACTATTCCTGACTGAGAAGCTTGAGGAGCTCTTTGTGTGGTGGGGAAGGTATGCATAAATTTGTAATTACAGGCTTATGAGGAAGATACTATGAACAATTCTAAAAACAGTGAAACCTGGATAATTATTGATTTAAGATATAGTTTAGAGCCTTAAGACACCTCACTTTTTTGTGTCTTTTAAGAAGTTCTGGTTAAGAGATTAATATCAGAAGGAACCTTAGATGGTGGGGTTTAATCCTATCATTTCACAGATGAGAAAACCAAGCACAAAAAGGAAGAGATTTACCCAAGGTCACAGAACTAGTTATAGCAAAACTGCTAGAACTTAGTTCCCTCCACTCATATTTATAGTTCTTTCCATTCTGCTACTACTCTAGCCTTGTTTCTTTTTTTGCAATATTTTGATTTCTACATACCTTTAATATTTTAGCTACTTTGAGTAAGGTTTCAATGTATTTTGCTGAGGAACACTTAATAGTAAAATCATTTGGATACCCACATGGAAATGCATAAAAGTTGGAATGTGCATTTTCTGACAGCGTTACATATTATGTCTTATAGTTTGGGAAAAGCAAGTAAACCTGGTGGTTTTATATCTTATGTTGCCTGTGGGCTATCAGCAGATAACTGAGGAAACCTCAATTTTTTATGACATGTTCAGATAGTTTTTATTCAACTTCAAAAAATTAAAAGACATAATTGATATTCTTCCTTATATCAGTTTTTAGTATCTAATGTAGATCACATAGCAGTTTGATTATTTTGATTATAGACTAATTTCTCTGTTTTTAAAATATACATTTTTTTTTCTCTTTTCAGGCAATTTGTCACCTCACTTGCAGAATATCTTTTCCAAGAGCCCCATTTTTGCTGGGGTAGTTCTTCCTCAAGTTCAACACCCCAAAAATGCAAGAAAAAAATATCCAAAGCTTAATGGATTGTTGGCAGATATAGTTCATGTATGTCTTTTTTTCCCCCGAGACAGAGTCTTGCTCTGTCACCCAGGCTGGAGTGCATTGGAGCAATGTCAGCTCACTGCAACCTCCGCCTCCCAGGTTCAAAAGATTCTCCTGCCTCAGCCTCCCAAGTTGTTGGGGTTACAGGCGCCTGCCACTGTGGCCGGCTAACTTTTGTATTTTTAGTAGAGATGGGGTTTCACCATGTTGACCATGGTTGGCCAGGCTGATCTGGAACTCCTGAGCTTAGGTGATCTGCCCACCTCGGCCTCCCAAAATGCTGAGATTACAGGCGTGAGTCACCGCGCCCAGTCAGTTCATGTATGTTGAGAAATTAAGAATTTATATCTGAGAAATTTGCATAAATTATAATACAGTTTTAAATTATCACTTTAATGAAATTCCAAAAGGATTCCTAAAGTAATGTAATCTGTAGAAAGTTATGTCTTTAGTACAGAGAAATTAAAATTCATAGACTGTCAGAGCTGAACGCCCCCTAAGATAACTATGTTCATTATATTTAATTTATCTCTATTTTAATGATAATTAGGTATAAACTGGAGAAATGGGCCAGGCACGGTGGCTCACGGTGTAATCCCAACACTTTGGGAGGCCGAGGCCAGCAGATCACGAGGTCAGGAGATTGAGACCATACTGGCTAACATGGTGAAACCCCGTCTCTACTAAAAATACAAAATAATTAGCCGGGCATAGTGGCATACACCTGTAGTCCCAGCTACCCGGGAGGCTGAGGCAGGAGAATCACTTGAACCTTAGAGGCCAAGGTTGCAGTGAGCCAAGATCAGGCCACTGCACTCCAGCCTGGATGACAGAGAGAGACTCTGTCTCAAAAAAAAAAAAAAAAATGGAGAAATTCTAAGGACTTACTATGTTTATCACTACCTTTTAACATTTAGTTTAGCCCTGTTAGGGACATATTTTTTGTACTAAAATATCTACAGGACCTCAGCAGCTATAGTTTTAATGTCTGAAGATACACCAAGGCCAAAATCTGTCTTGAACTGGAGAAAATGAAAACATTATATAATTCCTTTTTATTATTTTAAAATTTAATTTTTTATTTATTATTTTTATTTTTGTTTTTGTTTTTTTTGAGATGGAGTTTTGCTCTTGTTGCCCAGGCTGAAGTGCAATGCTGCGATCTTGGCTTACCACACCCTCTGCCTCCCAGGTGTGGCATGAGGCATGCCTTGGCAACATAGTAAGACCCTATCTCTAATCAAAAGCGTAGGGTGTCATGGTACCCACTTGTAGTCCTAGCTATTTGGGAGGCTGAGGCAGGAGGATCCTTTGAACCCGGGAATTTGAGACTGCAGTAATTTATGCTTGCACCACCACACTCTAGCCTGGGTGACAGAGCAAGACCCTGTATAAAAAAAGAAAAAAAGAATCCTTAACCTGTGTGTCAACTAAAATATTTCTCTCATTGATTTGTGAAAAAAGCACATTAATCTTTTGTCATAAGTTTTGCAATACATTTGCAAAACTTGCAATATGCTTTTTTTTTTTTTTTAAACAACTAGAATCATCCAATGATTTGGAATGCTACATTTATCATAGACAAAAAGCTTATACATGTGTGGGTTTGTTTCTGTTACATTGATTTTTCTCTTTATTCTAGAAGTAGTACAACTTTGATTTATTATTGTAACTTTAAAATACACCTTGATATCTGATGTAGGGCACTTTTTTTCCTAGATATAAATTTTCTAAACAATGTTATTGGGGTATAATTTATGAACAGTAAACTACACATACTTAAAATGTACAATTTGAAGAGTTTTGATACATGTATACACACATGAAACCACCACCACAGTCAAGATATCTAACACACACACACACACACACACACGATACCTAACATTTCCATCACTCTCCAAAATTTCATTGTGTCCTTTTACAATTCATCTTTTCTTCCATTTCTGTCCCCAGATAACCACTGTTTTGCTTTCTCTTCCCATAGATTAGTTTGAATTTCCTAGAATCTTATATAAATAGAATCGTACAGTAGGCACTCTTTCATGTCTGGCTTCTTCCACTCAGCATAATGGTTTAGAGATTCATTCATGTTTTTGTATGTATCAGCAATTTGTTCCTCTTTTGCAGAGTAGTAGTTCATTATATGACTATACTACATTTTAAAAAATCCCTTCACTGTTGTTGGACATTTGGGTTATTTCCCATTTTTCGCTATTACAAATAAAGTTGCCATGAGAACATTCATGTTCGTCTTTGTGTGGAACACACAGTGTATTTTCATTCCTCCAGCAGAAATATCTAAGAACAGAATGGCTGGGTCATGGGTAGGCATATGTTTAATTTTTTAAGAAACTGCCAATCTGTTTCCCCAAGTGTCATATTTTACACTTTCCAAAGTAGGGCATATATTTAAATTTACTGAATTATATTTGCAGAAGGACTGCCTCTAATTGTCTGCCTCTATGATTTGGTCAGACCTTTTAGCATTTTTTATATTAAGTTTTAGTGATAGATTACCATTATGTTCTAAAATGAGCACATATTTTTAACTATTTTTTTTTGTTTGTTTTGTTTTGATTTTGAGATGGAGCTTTGCTCTTGTTGTCCAGTCTGGAGTGCAATGGCACGATCTTGGCTCACCACAACCTCCTGCCTCCTAGGTTCAAGTGATTTTCCCGCCTTAGCCTCCCGAGTAGCTGGGATTACAGGCATGTGCCACCACGCCCGGCTAATTTTGTATTTTTTTTTAGTGGAGACGGGGTTTCTCCCTGTGGTCAAGCTGGTCTCTTAACTCCCAACCTCAGGTGATCCACCCGCCTTGGCCTCCCAAAGTGCTGGAATTATAGGCATGAGCCACCACACCTGGCCAACTAGTTGCAGTCTTAAAGACTGCCACATCATTAAGTAGGTAATAGACTTAAATAATTTCTCTTTGTGAATCAATGTTTTTTATTTTGGTTAAAAAAAAAAACCCCACATAATATGGAATCTACCTTCTTACAAAATTATTAAGTGTACAGTATGGCATTTTTAACTATATGCACATTATAGTACAGCAGATCTCTAGATTTTTTTCTGTGAATCAGTTTAAATATGCATTTTGAAATAAACAGAAACATAATATTATATACAATTATCTTGGATTTGCTGGATTTTAGTTGTGGCTCCTCTCCTTATGAGATCTTAGACAAATTACGTGATCTCTCTGGGCCTCAGTCTCCTCATCTGTATAATGAGGATAATAATAATATTTACTTTGTAGGATTGTTGTTGGGATGGAATGGAGAAAAAGACTGGAGCATTGTCTGGTATGTAGTAAGCATCAATAAAAGTTACTAGTCAGGCATGGTGGCATGTGTCTGTAGTCTGAGCTACTCAAGAGGCTAAGGAAGGAGGATATCTTGAGCCAAAGAGTTCAAGGCTCCAGTGAGCTATAATTGCACCACTGCACTCCAGCCTGGGCGACTGAGTAAAAGCCTGTCTCTAAAAAATTTTTAAAAACCAAACATGGTGGCTCTATTCCGTAATTCCAGCAGTTTAGGAGACTAAGGCAGGAGAATCACTTAAACTCAAGAGTTTATCAGCCTCACAACATAACAAGACTCCTATCTCTACAAAAAGAAGTTAACTATTATTGTTTTACCTCCTTTCACAGGAGGAATGAAAATTATAAAGCAGATGCTTTTTATTCAAAACGTGTCTTCAATATTTTGATTAAAGAAATGTGTTCCATTTATAATTATTGTTATTTAACTACATACAGATTTGTTATGTACAACTTAACATTCAAAACTTCCTTCCATATTTTGTTTGTTTGTTTCTATACCAAGAAAGGGAAACAGAAAAGAGCTGATTTAATAATGGGTTATTGAAAGATTTAGAGACTTGAATATTTGCAAAATGGTATTATGCTATAGAAAGAGTGCTGGATTAGGAGTCAAGACAACATGGGTTAAAACTCTTGTTTGGCAAACTACTAATCATGCTTCCAGATCTGTAAAATGCAAATGATTATACATGAACTTTCCACCTCACAGGGCAGAAAAGAGGATCAAAATGAGCTAATTAATTTTTGCTAATTTCAGCGGAAACAGACTGACCTCTGTTTTGGCTAGAATCATGGGACATTTAACCTATAATAATGTTCTGCAAGTGCAAATTCCTTAAGGAAATAAACAGTCAGAACTTACTACCAGAAATTCCTGAGGTCTAATTCCATCTTTTCAAGAATGCTTTTTGATCTGGATTATTAATTACTTCTTAATTTGTAAAATAAATTTAATTTTTACCATATGGAGCCCTGTTGAGAGCTCACTTATCATTACAATCTTTTTCCTTTCCTAGGCTTGTTTACAAATTGATCCTGCTGACAGGATATCATCTAGTGATCTTTTGCATCATGAGTATTTTACTAGAGATGGATTTATTGAAAAGTAAGCACTTTGAGTGAATGTGGATTTTTTTAAAGCATTTTGTATTGGGAAATTTTGCTAGCAGGAAAATTGCTGTATAGGTTACTTTTACATAACAAATATTCAGTTTAACAAAAATTTATTGAGTTATTGTATCAGGTATTGACTAGAAAGATAGTAGACTTAACAAGTGTCATGAATGAAAAGCCTAATAATAGGATGCGCACAGTGGCTCACACCTGTAATCCCAGCACTTTGGGAAGCTGAGGCAAGCAGATTGCTTGAGCCCTGCGGTTCACGACTGGCCTGGGCAACATAGGGAGACCCCTGTCTCTACAAAAAATACAAAAATTAGCAAGGTGTGGTGGCACACGCTTGTAGTCCCAGCTACTCGGGAGGCTCAGGGGGGAAGATGGCTTAAACCCTGGAGATAGAGGTTGCAGTGAGCTGAGATTGCACCACTGCACTCCAGCCTGGGTGACAGGTTGAGATCCTATCTCAAAAAAAGAAAAAAAGTCTAATAATAAAAAGTAATTGCAGCTAACATTCATTACACAGTTACTATGTCCTAGGCAGTGTGCTCAGCTCTTTACATACTACAGTTTCAGTGTTATCATAGACCAGAGATAACATTAAATAAGCAATCAGTACTTCTTAGCTTTATTCCTGTTTGGACCCCTGACTCAGAGAATAGTCTGGTTTTTCCTCTTCTGGTGACATTCATTTATCATAATTAGCATGCACTTCCCAAATGATTTTTTTTTTTTTTGTTTTTTTTTTTTTTGAGACGGAGTCTCGCTGTGTGGCCCAGGCTGGAGTGCAGTGGCACAATCTCGGCTCACTGCAAGCTCCGCCTCCCAGGTTCACGCCATTCTCCTGACTCAGCCTCCCGAGTAGCTGGGACTACAGGCGCCTGCCACCACGCCCGGCTAATTTTTTGTATTTTAGTAGAGATGGGGTTTCACCGTGTTAGCCAGGATCTCCTGACCTCGTGAACCACCCGCCTTGGCCTCCCAAAGTGCTGGGATTACAGGCTTACGCCACCGCGCCCAGCACGAATGATTTTTTTCTACTTATTCTCTGTTGTAGTGCCTGTTGTCTGTCTTTTTTTTTTTTTTTTTTTTTTGAGACGAAGTCTCACTCTGTTGCCCAGGCTGGAGTGCAGTGGCACAATCTCAGCTCACTACAAACCTCCATCTCCCAAGTTCAAACAGTTCTCCTGCCTCCGCCTCCAGAGCAGCTAGGATTAGAGGCACATGCCACCACACCCAGCTAATTTTTTGTATTTTTAGTAGAGACGGGGGTTTTACCATTTTGGCCAGGCTGATCTCGAACTCCTGACCTCAGGTGATCCACCTGCCTTGGCCTCCCAAAGTGCTGGGATTACGGCCCTTCTGTGCCCCACATTGCTTATGACATGCCCAGCATATAATCTGTATTACAATTTAGATTCATGAATCAGCCGTATTTCTAAAAAAACACTATTTTCTATTTGGACTTTGAAAAAAACAGGAAAAGTTTCTCATTAACTGTAAAACCATTGAGCTTGTCTTTGGACATATTAGAAAGATGGGCATCCGTTAAAAATGTGATGGAGCTAAGGTCAGATATGGAAAAGTCCAGGAACTGCTATTGGAGATAGACTAAGTAGAAAAAAGCAAAAGAATCCTTGAGGGCAACTAGAACTTCGAGCCTTTCAGGAGTTTTACTCTAAAACAAAAAATAAGATGATATATTTAAAGTGCCATTGGCGAGGCGTGGTGGCTCATGCTGTAATCCCAGCATTTTGGGAGGCCAAGGTGGGCAGATCAACTGAGGTCAGGAGTTCAAGACCAACCTGGTCAAGATGGTGAAACACCATCTCTACTAAAAATGCAAAAACTTAGGTGGGCGTGGGCATGCGCCTGTAGTCCCAGCTACTCAGGAGGCTGGGACAGGAGAATCGTTTGAACCCAGGAGGCTGAGGCTGCAGTGAGCCGAGATTGCACCACTGCACTCCAGTCTGGGTGACAGAGGGAGACTCTGTCTCAAAACATAAAAGAATAGGCCGGGCGTGGTGGCTCATGCCTGTAATCCCAGCACTTTGGAAGGCCGAGGCGGGCAGATCACGAAATCAGGAGATCAAGACCATCCTGACTAATGCGGTGAAACCCTGTCTCTACTAAAAATACAAAAACAAAATTCGCCAGATGTGGTGGCAGGCACCCTGTAGTCCCAGCTACTCAGGAGGCTGAGGCAGAAGAATGGCATGAACCAGGGAGGCGGAGCTTGCAGTGAGCGGAGATCATGCCACTGCACTCCAGCCTGGGCGACAGAGCAAGACTCTGTCTCAAAAATATAAAAAATAAAAGAATAAAAAATAAAAAAATGAAGTGCCATTGATAAAAAGCAGCAGTTATCGGCCGGGCATGGTAGCTCATGCCTGTAATCCCAGCACTTTGGAAGGCCGAAGCAGGCAGATTGCTTGAACCTAGGAGTTCGAGACCAGCCTGGGCAACATGGCAAAACCCTGTCTCTACAAAAAATGCAAAAATTATCTGGGTATGTTGGTGTATACCTGTAATCCCAGCTACTAGGGAGGCTGAGGTAGGGGATTGCTTGAGCCCAGGAGGTCAAGGTTGCAGTGAGCCATGAGTGTGTCACTGTACTGCAGCCTGGGCAACAGAAACACTGTATCAAAAAAAAAGATGTCAGTTATTGAATTAAAAAGTTACTTCATATCAGTTCTACACAGACTAAGTTTATTTTTCTTGGACATTTAGATATCAGGCTTTTACTTTTGTGGGGTGAAAGTACCTTGAGTTCAATTTATAGAATCCTTAGAAAATATTTGGATAAGTCCTTTTCCTTTGATAAGGTGCCTCTTTATTTCATGTACCTTCTGCAGTTCAAGGGTGATTTAACAGGAGTATGACATTTTCTCATCTAGCCAAACTAATCACACTGATTCTTTTTTTTTTTTTTTTTCCATCACACTGCTTGTCATCAGGCCTGTGCCCTGCACAGCACTAGCAAGAGTTTGCTGGACTAGGGAAGAATTCATTCATGGGCTGATATTTTAAAACCTTCCCAAATTGATAGCTGTAGCTGCTTCAAGGAAGGGACTTGTGCAGTTCAGGGAAGGGGTGGGAAGGAAATTTTTCAGTATAGACTTTTGAACTTTGAACCACATGAATGGACTTTCTAATCAAAAATAACTTTTAAAAAGAAAGAAATCAAACTAAAACCAAAATAATCTCTCTCCAATATGAATGTATTCTGTTACATTTCTCTAGAGTAAGATTTTAGAAGCTAGTTAGTCCATTTTTAAAGTTCTATTACTTTAAAGAACCACAGCCGAGTGCGGTGGCTCACGCTTGTAATTCCAGCAACTTTGGGAAGCTGAGGCAGGCGGATCACCTGAGGTTGGGAGTTAGAGACCAGCCTGACCAACATGGAGAAACCCCATTTCTATTAAAAATACAAAATTAGCCGGGCATGGTGGCACATGCCTGTAATCCCAGCTACTCAGGAGGCTAAGACAGGAGAATCGCTTGAACCCAGGAGGCAGCGGTTGTGGTGAGACGAGATCACGCCATTGCACTCCAGCCTGGGCAACAAGAGCAAAACTCCATCTCAAAAAAAAAAAAAAAAGAGAGAACCACAGAAAAGGTCAAAGTGGTCTGAGTCTTCCTTAAAAATAATAGTATTTTTATCAACATTAAAAGCAGTATTTTTCTGAGTTGAGTTTGCATCGCAAAAGGAATCTAATTAGTATAAATCTATTTTGTAAAAGTTTTATATAGTAAGTTCCCATAGCATAATTTTCGAAAGATGTAGCTTTACCAGAAAGCAATTTTTATTAGGTAAATTGGGCCATCTCTTGGCATGCATTGTAATTAGATAGCATTATTTATACTGTAGCTGAAATACAAATTAATTGATGAAATGGTTTATTCAAGATAAAATACTTTATCTGCATATATAAAAAGATTACTCGTTGATATTGCTTGTTTTATCAGATTCATGCCAGAACTGAAAGCTAAATTACTGCAGGAAGCAAAAGTCAATTCATTAATAAAGCCAAAAGAGAGTTCTAAAGAAAATGAACTCAGGAAAGATGAAAGAAAAACAGTTTATACCAATACACTGCTAAGTAGTTCAGTTTTGGGAAAGGTAAGAACTTTGGCTTTTGTTTCAGCCAGTATAATTATAGTTAGACTCTAATGACAAAAATAACTGTTATCATGACTCGGATTTTGGATGTATATATTCCAGGAAATAGAAAAAGAGAAAAAGCCCAAGGAGATTAAAGTCAGAGTTATTAAAGTCAAAGGAGGAAGAGGAGATATCTCAGAACCAAAAAAGAAAGAGTATGAAGGTGGACTTTGTCAACAGGATGCAAATGAAAATGTTCATCCTATGTCTCCAGATACAAAACTTGTAACCATTGAACCGCCAAACCCTATCAATCCCAGCACTAACTGTAATGGCTTGAAAGAAAATCCACATTGCGGAGGTTCTATGACAATGCCACCCATCAATCTAACTAATAGTAATTTGATGGCTGCAAATCTCAATTCAAATCTCTTTCACCCCAGTGTGAGGTGAGCTGTAACAGAGAAGAAACCTAAATAATACAATATTCCTGTATAATGGTGTTTCGAGGAATCATGTTGATAGTGTCTGTATGTAAACTGAACTTGAAGAAAATATGTTGAAATTAAAGCTGTATAATGGGCCATTTACTGAGTGTTTCTTACAAATGCTGTAGAAGAAATTAACTTTTCTTGCCCATATAGATGTTTAAATTTTCACTAATGTCTTTTGGAGAAACCTCATTTAAAGAAAAAAAAAGACCCTTTGAAAAATGTTTTTATTTTTGAAGAAAAAAAACGTTGATATGCCCTAAGTTCTGGTATCGGTGTGCCTTGGTATAACAAAATAAGCTTTATTTCTATATCATAGCAAATTCTCTAAGTGGAGAAAGGATAGTAAAAAATAATCTTTCGTAAGTCAAATAGCCTTTCAAGGTGAAATATTTTGGGAGAAAAATAGCATATTAGGCCAGTTTTAGATTTAACCTCTGATACAGACTGAGAGACTGGTCCGTGAGTCTGGTTAATCAAGGGCAGTGTGATGGATGGTGAGGGTCTGTCCAACAAGGCAGTAGGGCCACTTCAAAATTTAGGAAGACTACTGTCATTCTAGGGGAAAAGGAGACTGGATTCATTAGCCCAAGAGGATTCTAGCAGACTGGTTTGGGCTACAGGTTTTGAAGCCCAGTGGTCTGCAGAGGTGAGCAAGTGGACATGTCCATATCAGTCCAAAGGTACAGCAGGCTACAGACTGCAAGAGCCCAGTTGTTCTTGAGGTGATGCCAAAACCATATACTAGTAACAATGGTTGCAAGCCAGTCAGTCTTGGACAGTAAGCTCATAAATTGAGAAAGCTGGTAGTGAAGAGATCTAAATTCCGAACAGATAGAAGGGAGCAAGTAGGCCAGCAGGAGTAACCCCACAACATGCCTGTCACCACTGATGTTAACATGCACTAATTGTTCTCTGCCCTGTTACCACCTCTCTCTTTAGGGTAATTGGTAGGTAAGGACTCACTATTGCATTTTGGTACTCAGTGTTCAAAAAATAGACTTCCATGCCATAATTTATTAATTCTTGAAGCTAAAACAAAGCCATTTCGCCTGGGCATGGTGACTCGTGCCTGTAATCCCAGCAATTTGGGAGGCCAAGGCGGGTGTATCAGTTTAGCTCAGGAGTTCGAGACCAGCCTGGCCAACATGGCAAAACCCTGTCTCTACAAAAAATAGAAAAATTAGTTGGCCATGTTGGAACGCACCAGTAATCCCAGCTACTTGGGAGGCTGAGGCAAGAGAATCACTTGAACCCAGGAGACAGAGGTTGCAGTGAGCCAAGATCATGACACTGCACTCTAGCCTGGGTGACAGAGTGAGATTCTGCCCCCCCCCAAAAAAGAAAAAAAGGCATTTCTGGGGAGTTCTAATAACTTCTCATTCATTTTTAAATAATAGGTTAACTGAAAGAGCAAAAAAGAGACGCACTTCTTCACAATCTATTGGACAAGTTATGCCTAATAGCAGGCAAGAGGATCCAGGTCCTATTCAAGTAAGGCAAGAAGCCACGCATTAAAATATGGCCTCTTTTAACATTACTTCTGTTTTCTTTTTCTGTATCTTTAGGGCTCTAATACTTTTTTGTTTGTCTGTTTGTTTTGTTTTTTTGAGACAGAATCTCTCTCTGTTGCCCAGACTGGAGTGTAGTGGTACGATCTCAGCTCACTGCCGCCTCGACCTCCTGGGCTCAAGCAATCCTCCCACTTCAGCCTCCCAAGTAGCTGAGACTTCAGGCACATGCCACCATGCCCAGCTAATTTTGTTCATTTTTTGTAGCAACTAAGTCTCACTATGTTGCCCAGGTTGGTCTCAAACTCCTGGGCTCAAGGGATCCTCCCTTCTCAGCCTCCCAAAGTACTAGGATTACAGGTGTGAGCCAATGCACCCAGCCTCTCACACTTTTAAAAATGTACTTTAAGTTTCTTTTTTTTTTTTCCTGAGATGAAAATAGGCCATTATTTTCTAAGTGCTTTCACAATTAATTAAGTTCATATATCTTAATTTATCACAGTTAATTAAGTTCATATATCTTAATTTATGTATTTAACATGTGACTTAGGCAGAGTAAGTTAGGATTTCCACCTTTGAAAGTCAGAAGTAGTTTTGTTTTTTTTCACTTCCAAAAAATGTTTTTAATATCTTTATGGATTAAAAACAATCGCCAAATAAACACAATTTATTTTCACTAGAAAAAATAATGTAGTTCATCCCTGTCCCAACTTTTGTTTTTGTTTTGTTTTTGGCTTATTTTGCATTATTCATCTCTAATGGGACCTCACAACTTTTTACATAGGAAGGTGATTTATTCAAAATTGAAGCAAAATGTTAATTATAATAACAAAAAACTGAAAACAGTACAAACTTGTCCAAGAGCCAGTGACTAAGTACATTAGTGTACATTCATACAGTGGAATACTACACATTACATTGTGGAAGAGTGTTCATTGACCTAGACAGGATTTTATGATCTGTTTTCAAATGAACAAAAATCTGGTAACACAGAACGTTTCCCAGATGCTGGATGTGCAATTAATTTTTTTTCCTTTGGGTTTTCCCAGTGTTCACAAAGCATATCATTTTGTAGGTAGATAAGTAAGTTATTAAGAAAATGAACTGAAGCAATTTGCTCAAAGTCAGAGTGCAGTGAATAGTATTAAAAATGAAAAGTTAAGTTTGTGGTTCTGGCCAGGCACAGTGGCTCTAACCTGTAATCCTAGCATTTTGGAAGACTGAGCTGGGAGGATTGCTTGAGCCCAGGAATTTGAGTTCAGCCTGGGCAACATAGTGAGACCCTGTCTCCATAAAAAATGAAATAAAATAAATTAGTTGTGTGTGGTGGCGTGTGGCTGTGGTTTCAGACTGGGTGGGCTGAGGTGGGACTATGGCTTGAGCCCAAGAGGTTGAGGCTGCAGCCATAACGGCACTGCTGTATTTCAGCCTGGGCAACAAAGCAAGACTCTGTCTCAATGATAATAATAATAATAATAAGGCCAGGTGCAGTGGCTCATGCTTGTAATCCCGGCACTTTGGGAGCCCAAAGCAGAAGGATTGCTTTAGCACAGGAGTTTGAGATCAGCCTAGTTTGAGATCAGCCTAACAAGACCCCATCTCTACAAAAAATTTAAAAATTAATCAGGCGTGGTGGTGTGTGCCTGTAGTCCCAGCTACTTGGGAGACTGAGGTGGGAAGATCACTTGAGCCCAGGGGGTTGATGCTGCAATGAGTCATGATCATGCCAATGCACTCCAGCTGGGTGACAGAGCAAGACCCTGCTTCAAAATAATAATATTATTATTATTGTTATTATTGTGGTTCTCATGATCAAGACTGTTATGCTCAGAATATTAAATATGCTAAAAATGTTTGCTTTATGAAACTTGTTGGAGTTTGATCTGTTGATATGTTCAATAGTATTCTAAATCTTCTTAATTATTAAATTAATTGTTATGTCTATCTTATACCATCCAAATGGCTAGCAATTCTAGGATTGTCATTCTACAGATAGTTAGACACATTTCTTCAAACTAACTCTTGTTTGTTTGTTTAGAGCCAAATGGAGAAGGGTATATTTAATGAGCGAACAGGTCACAGTGACCAAATGTCTAATGAGAACAAAAGGAAGCTGAATTTTTCCAGATCTGACAGGAAAGAATTCCATTTTCCAGAATTGCCTGTCACAATACAGCCAAAAGATACGAAAGGAATGGAAGGTACACATTTGTTGTATAGCTTTACAATTATGATGATATCATTTATAAGATTTTTTCATAATATAACTTACATTTTAGTGTGATTTAGGTAGAAAACAGTGCATTGGTAAGGAAAACATTTCAGCTGATGAGATTTTGTCCCCATTGTCAAATAAGGGGTACGATTTTAAGGAGATAATTTTAAAGAGGCGTAAGCTTGTAATCCTAGCATTTTGGGAGACCAGTGCAGGAGGGTTGCTTGAGCCTAGGAGTTTGAGACCAGCCTGAGCAACATAGCAAAACCCTGTCTCTACAAAAAATAAACTAGCTTGGTGTGGTGGTGTGTGCCTGTAGTCCCAGCTACTTGGGAGGCTGAGTTAGGAGGACTGCTTGACCCAGGAGGTTGAGACTGCAGTGAGCTGTGGTCACGCCACTATACTCCACTCCAGGATGACACACAATGAGACCGTGTCTCTAAAAAAAAAAATTAATTAAAAAGAAAAAGAGAGGTTAAGACAGCTTTAAAGGGTAAATTTTTAATTTTTTAAATTTATTTACTTATTTTTATTATACTTTAAGTTCTAGGGTACATGTGCACAACATGCAGGTTTGTTACATATGTATACATGTGCCATGTTGGTATGCTGCACCCATTAACTTGTCATTCACATTAGGTATATCTCCTAATGCTATCCCTCCCCCCTCGCCGCTCCCCCCTCCCCACAATAGGCCCCAGTGTGTGATATTCCCCTTCCTGTGTCCAAGTGATCTCATTGTTCAATTCCCACCTATGAGTGAGAGCATGCGGTGTTTGGTTTTCTGTTCTTGCCATAGTTTGCTGAGAATGATGGTTTCCAACTGCATCCATGTCCCTACAAAGGACATGAACTCATCCTTTTTTATGGCTGCATAGTATTCCATGGTGTATATGTGCCACATTTTCTCAATCCAGTCTGTCACTAATGGACATTTGGGTTGATTCCAAGTCTTTGCTATTGTGAATAGTGCTGCAGTAAACATACGTGTGCGTGTGTCTTTATAGCAGCATGATTTATAATCCTTTGGGTATATGCCCAGTAATGGGATGGCTGGGTCAAATGGTATTTCTAGTTCTAGATCCTTGTGGAATCGCCACACTGTTTTCCACAATGGTTGAACTAATTTACAGTCCCACCAACAGTGTAAGAGTGTTCCTATTTCTCCACATCCTCTCCAGCACCTGTTGTTTCCTGACTTTTTAATGATCGCCATTCTAACTGGTATGAGATGGTATCTCATTGTGATTTTGAATTGCATTTCTCTGATGGCCAGTGATGATGAGCATTTTTTCATGTGTCTGTTGGCTGTATGAATGTCTTCTTTTGAGAAGCGTCTGTTCATATCCTTTGCCCACTTTTTGATGGGGTTGTTTGTTTTTTTCTTGTAAATGTGTTTGAGTTCTTTGTAGGTTCTGGATATTAGCCCTTTGTCAGATGAGTAGATTGCAAAAATTTTCTCTCATTCTGTAGGTTGCCTGTTCACTCTGATGGTAGTTTCTTTTGCTGTGCAGAAGCTCTTTAGTTTAATTAGATCCCATTTGTCAATTTTGGCTTTTGTTGCCATTGCTTTTGGTGTTTTAGACATGAAGTCCTTGCCCATGCCTATGTCCTGAATGGTATTACCTAGGTTTTCATGATTTTAGATCTAACATTTAAGTCTCTCATCCATCTTGAATTAATGTTTGTATAAGGAGTAAGGAAAGGATCCAGTTTCACTTTCTACTTATGGCTAGCCAATTTTCCCAGCACCATTTATTAAATAGAGAATCCTTTCCCCATTTCTTGCTTTTGTCAGATTTGTCAAAGATCAGATGGCTGTAGATGTGTGGCATTATTTCTGAGGACTCTGTTCTGTTCCATTGGTCTATATCTTTGTTTTGGTACCAGTACCATGCTGTTTTGGTTACTGTAGCCTTGTAGTATAGTTTGAAGTCAGGTAGCATGATGCCTCCAGCTTTGTTCTTTTGGCTTAGGATTGTCTTGGCAATGCGGGGTCTTTTTTGGTTCCATATGAACTCTAAAGCAGTTTTTTCCAATTCTGTGAAGAAAGTAATTGGTAGCTTAATGGGGGTGGCATTGAATCTATAAATTACCTTGGGCAATATGGCCATTTTCGTGATATTGATTCTTCCTATCCATGAGCATGGTATGTTCTTCCATTTGTTTGTGTCCTCTTTTATTTCACTGAGCAGTGGTTTGTAGTTCTCCTTGAAGAGGTCCTTTATATCCCTTGTAAGTTGGATTCCTAGGTATTTTATTCTCTTTGAAGCTATTGTGAATGGGAGTTCGTTCATGATTTGGCTCTCTGTTTGTCTGTTACTGGTATATAAGAATGCTTGTGATTTTTGCACATTGATTTTGTATCCTGAGACTTTGCTGAATTTGCTTATTTATTTATTTTTTTTAAAACAGAGTCTCACTCTGCCACCCAGGCTGGAGTACAGTGTTGCAATCTCAGCTCATTGCAACCACCACCTCCTGGGTTCAAGTGATTCTCATGCCTAGCCTCCTGAGTAGCTGGGACTACAGGTGCCCGCCAGCACGCCTGGCTATTTTTTGTATTTTTAGTAGAGACAGGGTTTCATCATTTTGGCCAGGCTGGTCTCGAACTCCTGACCTCAGGTGATCCACCTGCCTTGCCCTCCCAAAGTGCTGGAATTACAGGCATAAGCCATTGCAGCTGGCTGCAAAGCACGAATTTTTTTATTAGCTCAATGTTGTTGAAATGTTAGAGCAGTATTTGAGAAATCTGGTTTAGTATATGACCTGGAGTAAATTGCCTTTCTATGTTTCTTCATGATCATTTACCCATATAGTAGCAGAAATTTTATATGTATTTTGGGCATCCAAGGATTAAATATATAAGATTTATAGGCTGGGCATGGTGGCTCACACCTGTAATCCCAGCACTTTGGGAGGCCAAGGCGGGCGGATCACCTAAGGTCAGTAATTTGAGACCACCCTGGCCAGTATGGCAAAAACCCATCTCTATTAGCCAGGCGTGGTGGCTCATGCTTGTAATCTCCGCTACTTGGGAGGCTGAGGCAGGAAAATTGCTTGAAACTGGGAGGCGGAGGTTGCAGTGAACCAAGATCACACCACTGCACTCCAGCCTGGGTGACAGAGTGAGACTCCATCTCAAAAAAAAAAAAAAAAGATTTATAAACTTAAGATTTATCTCAGAATGAACACACTTTTGTCTTGAATAAATGTTCTTATGTTTCTTTGAAGAACAGTGACACCTTGTGAAAAGTTAATATAATAGCAAGAATATAATCCTTGTACAGTTCAAGAAGAATTTTCTGATCCACTTAACAGTTACACTGAGAATAATAGGCCGGGCGCGGTGGCTCAAGCCTGTAATCCCAGCACTTTGGGAGGCTGAGACGGGCGGATCACGAGGTCAGGAGATCGAGACCATCCTGGCTAACACAATGAAACCCCGTCTCTACTAAAAATACAAAAAAATTAGCCGGGCGTGGTGGCGGCGCCTGTAGTCCCAGCTACTCGGGAGGCTGAGGCAGGAGAATGGCGGGAACCCGGGAGGCGGAGCTTGCAGTGAGCCGAGATCGCGCCACTGCACTCCAGCCTGGGCGACAGAGCGAGACTCGGCCTCAAAAAAAAAAAAAAACAGTTACACTGAGAATAATAAAATAAAATAAAAGTCTTATTTTAATACTTAGTAGACTATTTGTAAAGTTATAAAACAAATAATTTACCATATTTTACCATTACAACTCATAACTTATTTTGTTCCTTTGTAATAAACTGAGAAACTGACTTAGTGGATATCAGAATCTCTATTTGAAATTCTTGGAAAGTAAAATTTCAAAGTAGGAATAACAAATTTTCATTGTTTTGTATATTTTTACAAAAGTTAAACAGATAAAAATGCTGAAGAGGGAGTCAAAGAAAACAGATTCATCTAAGATACCAACTTTACTTAATGTGGATCAAAATCAAGAAAAACAAGAGGTAACTCTTTTTGTATATAGCTTTTACTAAGGCATGTTGTTTAGAGGACTTGACTCAGTGTATAAATTTAGTTATTACTATTGGAAAGCTATATAAAAATTCGAAATTTTATAATCTTTGAACTCAAGAAATAGATCTGTATTTTCCTAGAATAACCCATTAATAAAAGTTTCTAAAAGTTATTTTTTAGTGGGTAATGTTGAATAATTAGAATGCATGGCACCCGGGGAAAATAGTATCTATATTGTGTGTAATGTCAGATATCAGGCAGGTAAGCCAGACTAGTGAAAATGAATAATGGTATAAATATACAGTTATATGGCCACAAGCATGTGTGTCTCTGTCTTAGAGCCTCTTCCTTCCTTCTTGTTTTCTCTCCAGTTTATTCCCCTGTCTATCTCTGCTGTCTGCCTACTGTCCTATTTTAACAAATATTTGCTCTCAGCTAACTATCAGGTAATCTTGTTGAAATATTCCCAGTCCCTACCCACCAGAGAGATTCTCAAATTTTATTTGAAAATCTTAAAGCCTGTAACATCCAAATGAATGCTCTATAAAGACAATCTTTTAAGAGAAAGAGATTGTGCCAAGCACCCACTGAATTAAATCATATTGATGGCCGCCTATTCTGCACTTGTGAGGTCATTTCTGTATGTGATTTATCAACTTCTGTTTTTGTTTTTGTTTTTTTTTTTTGAGACAGAATCTCACTCTGTCGCCCAGGCTGGAGTGTAGTGGTGCAATCTTGGCTCACTGCAACCTCTGCCTCCCGGGTTCACAGCATTCTCCTGCCTCAGCCTCCCGAGTAGCTGGGACTACAGGCACCCACCACCACGCCTGGCTAATTTTTTTTTTTTTTTTTAAATATTTTTAGTAGAGATGGGGTTTCACTGTGTTAGCCAGGGTGGTCTCGATCTCCTGACCTCATGATCTGCCCACCTCGGCCTCCCAAAGTGCTGGGATTACAGGCGTAAACCACTGTGCCCGGCCCAACCTCTATTTTTTTTAAAAATAATATTACAGTTTTACTCATGATAAAATTAGTATATACTTATTAAGAAAATTTGAAGAAATTAAAAATGTTTAAAAAAATCTGAAACTCCGTAAGAAGGCATTTTAACAAGGCTACTTGATCTCTATAATATTTGGATAAGAGGGTTATCAGACGCTATTAGATGTATTCTCACTGTGACATTTAGGGCTATCTCTTTAGTCTTGGTCTAGAGCTTGTTAAGAACTCCACAGTCCACTTTGCAGAAAAGAAATGTTGTAGAACAAGAACGCCATTAGGCCAGGCACAGTGGCTCACACCTGTAATCCCAGCACTTTGGGAGGCTGAAGAGGGTGGATCACCTGAAGTCAGGAGTTCAAGACCAGCCTGGTCAATGTGGTGAAACCCTGTCTCTACTAAAAATACAAAAATTAGCTGGGCATGGTGGCGCATGCCTGTAATCCCAGCTATTCGGCAGGCTGAGGCAGGTGCTTGAACCTGGGAGGCGGCGGTTGCAGTGAGCCGAGATCAAACCATTGCACTCCAGCCTGGACAACAAGAGCAAGACTCTGTCTCAAAAAAAAAAAAAAAAGAAAAAAAAAGAAAAAGAAAAAGAAAGAAAGCCATTAATAGGCATCTTTCAGTTCATTATAAAAAGTAATAAGATGGCTTTAAACTTTTAAATTTGGGTGACATACTCATGTCACAGCATGTTGCACAGCATACCATTTGCACATTTTTTCAATGATTTGGGTGAGTTAGGGCTCCTGAGGTAGGCAGACTATTAATGTGCCTCATGTTTATCCCGTTGTCCTATGTGAGTCCCCAGGAACTAAAATTACTTTCTAGTCTAGGAAAAAAGGAACTCTGCAGGAAAAAAGACCCTTCTGTGATTTTTAGGATAAATAATAAATTACAAAGGGAAAACATCTTCTTGTTCATATGACATAGAACTCCAGAAAAAAATGAAGTCATCAGTGTTTGTTATAGTTTATTTGTACTGCTCATTCAAATGCAGCTCTGACAAGTGACTGAAATTGCATATAAGGCTAGTACAACTGGTTTTAATAAATGTCAGAATTAAGAAGATGTCTTAAATTTTGAGTCTGTAGTTTATTTTAGAGCATGAGAGAATATGACATATTTTTAAAAACATAAGATAGGGAATTGCTAGTTATTTTTTCTGTTCTTGGCTCTGTATTGACTTGGTTTATGAATTATACAATCAGATCCAAGCACTTCTCAGGTTTACTTTCTTTTTTATTATTATTTATTTATTTATTTATTGAGACAGACTCTCCCTCTGCCACCCAGGCTGGAGTACAGTGGTATGATATTGGCTCACTGCAACCTCCGCCTCCTGGGTTCAAGCAATTTTCCTGTCTCAGCCTTCTGAGTAGCTGGGATTACAGGCGCCCACCACCACGCCTGCCTAATTTTTGTATTTTTAGTAGAGACGGGGTTTCACCATGTTGTCCAGGCTCATCTTGAACTCCTGACCTCAGGTAATCTGCCTTCCTCAACCTCCCAAAGTGCTGAGATTACAGGTGTGAGCCACCACGCCTTGCCAGGTTTACTTTAAACTATTTCAGGCATCTTAAATGTGCATGCATGCTTTAATTAGGTTCTGTAACCAGAGAGAGACTCTAAATTACTGTGAATGAGTGAGTTAGGCAAGAGAGAAAGAGTCCATACAAAGGCCACCTTTTGTTTTGTTGGATAATAATAATAAGGAATTCATTGCTAAATAGTTTCCCTGTACCTTATGAAATAACCCGTAGAGGCAAAGTACAAGTATTTATCTCTGGCTGTATTTCCTTAGCCAAAGACTCACCATGTCCTCAATTAAAGACCTGTTTCTATTTACTTTTTAGAATACAGGAAATGCACAAACTGAAAGGAAGAAGAATCTACCAGATGTAGAGTAGAAAATGCAGCAGCTGAAAATTCAGGGAATCCCAGAATCACTGTATGGTTTTAAAAAAATCCTTTTTATTAATGTTACATACACAAAAATACTAACTAGAGAATTCTACAGGTATATTGTAAATCCTTTTAGTTATATGTACATTCACCTAAATTTGTTTTTAAATTTATTAATCTTTAAATTATTCATGTTTTCTTAATTTGAGCATGAATTTATAAAAACTACCTGACTGGTACATCCTAATAAAATTTCAGCTTACATTTAGTCATATAATTTTATTTGATCACCTATTATTTCAATCACACTTGATTAGTGGTCATTCTTAGCATTGGTTTAGAGCTTTATCATTACAGAAGGAAAAGTTTCTAAATATGTAATAAAGTAAGATCCCGATGCCTGGGAACACCAAACATTTCTGAGCAAACAAATATACTTGATAAGCATGCAACATGGGTTTGGCTTCACACTGAACTTTCTGGGGCAGTATTTAAATATATCATGAAGATTGTTTAAAAGGATGGAAATTGGTCGGGCACAGTGGCTCACGCCTGTAATCCCAGCACTTTGGGTGGCTGAGGCAGGTGGATCATGAGGCCAGGAGTTCAAGACCAGTCTGGCCAGCATGGTGAAACGCCATCTCTACTAAAAATGCAAAAAATTAGCCGGGCATGGTGGCGCGCACCAGTAATCCCAGCTACTCAAAGGCTGAGGCCGAAGAATTGTTTGAACCTGGGAGGCGGAGATTGTAGTGAGCTGGGATCACGCCACTGCACTCCAGCCTGGGCAACAGAGAGAGACTCCATCCTGCCGCACCACCCCCGCAAAAAAAAGGATGGAAGTTGAGCAAGGCATTGAAGCAAATCTTTTGGCTTGACTAGCATGTTTATAATTTAGTAATTTATATGTAATTTAGCATTAATAAAGTCAGAGTTTTGGTAGTATATATTTACATTCTAGTCCCTGATTCTTACTAGCTTGGTTTCTAATTTTAGGGTGGAGATGGCCATTGTGAGGGGAAGAATTTGAAGAGAAACAGGTTTTTTTTCTGGTAGTGTCTTTTCTTTTAAATAGTCCTAAAAATACAAGATGACAACTCTTCCCTTTTTATTTATCTACAATAGAAATGTGATGTGAGTTATTGTTAAGACAGCCATCCATGTGCATGAGCATCATCCAGCTTTTTTTTGTTAGCAAAGCCGTTACTGTTTTCTTCTCCCTTTTAAGACTCTGTTGATGTGATAATTTGATTTGGAATTATAAAGTCATCTTTTCTCTGCCTACTTCTTTTTTTGCCATGATTACTGGGTGGGTAACACATGCCGTGACATGATACAAACTGTACTTACACTTAATGATCTCTGCCTTCTCATAGCCACATAACCTCGAGTCAGTTATCTCCTATAACACATAGGCCTCTTTAAATAAGTTCTTAATAAAATATTTGAGCCATTGTTTTAAAAACTGTTTGTGATTGGTTGCAATGGCTCATGCCTGTAATCCTAGCACTTTGGGAGGCTGAGGCGGGCGGATCACTTGAGGTCAGGAGTTCAAAACCAGCCTGACCAACATGGTGGACCCCCATCTCTACTAAAAATGCAAAAATTAGCTGGGTGTGGTGGTGCACGCCTGTAATCCCAGCTACTCGGGAGGCTCTGAAACAGGAGAATCACTTGAATCCGGGAGGCCAAGGTTGCAGAGAGTCAAGATCATGCCACTGCACTCCAACCAGGGTGACAAGAGCAATACTCAAAACACGCACACACACACACACACACACACGCTATTCATGGTTGGGCACAGTGGCTCATGCCTATAATCCCAGCACTTTAGGAGGCTGAGGTGGGCAGATCACCTGAGGTCAGGAGTTTGAGACCAGCCTGACCAACATGGAAAAAGCTCGTCTCTACTAATAATACAAAAATTAGCTGAGTGTGGTGGCGCATGCCTGTAATCCCAGCTACTCGGGAGGCTGAAGCATGAGAATCGCTTGAACCCAGGAGGTGGAGGTTGCAGTGAGACGAGATTGCGCCATTGTGCTCCAGCCTGGGCAACAAGAGCAAAACTCTGTCTCAAAAAAAAAAGATAAAAGAAAAAAAAAGCTATCATTACATTACATGGTTAAAAATATGTTCTACTGGTCAGCAATGAAAGCACTTATTTATAATTTAGCAGCATCTCTGATCTAAAAATCAAGAAAATATATAATGTTTATAAAATATTTAAAAATAATATGGTATTCAAAGGTTAAATTGTTTTATCTGTGATTTGAGGGACCAAAATAGATGCCCCTTTATCAACTAAGATGAGGGCCCTAACATTAAGGAAACAAAAGTTACCTCTGGGTTGAGGGTTCAGGGCTGAGCTGGCATGACAACTTTCTAAATTCCTAGGCTGTAAGAAAAATCACAGTCTTGCTGGGTGCAGTGGCTCACGTCTATAATCCCAGCACTTTGGGAGGCCAAGGCAGGCAGATCACCTGAGGTCAGGACTTCGAAACCAGCCTGACCAACATGGCAAAATCTTGTCTCTAGTAAAAATACAAAAATTAGCCGGGTGTGGTGCCAACTACTCTACTCGGGAGCCTGAGGCAGGAGAATCGCTTGAACCCGGGAGGCAGAGGTTGCAGTGAGCTGCACTCCTGCCTGGAAGACAAGAGTGAGACGACGTCTCAAAAAAAAAAAAAAAAAAAGAAAGAAAAGAAAAAGAAAAACCACACTCTTGCTAAACTCCCTAACAACACAAGCTGTGAGGCAAATTCCTAATCCTGATTTACAACCTAGACTGCTACACCT